ATACATGGGCGGTACCTCAACCTTTGGCATGACGCTTTTTTTTTTTTTTGCGCGTCAAAAGAAGTTTTTCTTTTACATTTTGCAGTGTGATTGCGTGTCTTTGAGCGTTTTCATTTATTATACTTACATATACATTTGTATATACTTATAGGTATGTAAGTGGATACGTATTACATACTACATACATTCATGCGCATGTTTGTACATAGGTATGTACATATGTATGTATGTATGCATGTATGTATGCATGCATTTCTTGCATTGCATTAGTTTTTATGTGCCAGCACAATTTCATTTAGGTTGTTGTTGGCACAATTTCAACAGCATTACTGGCCGGTGTTGTCGTTGTTGCAGTTGCATTGGGCACCGCTGCGGTATTGCAACCCGCTGCCACATCATTGCTGGTGCCCGCATTCAGCGATGTGGAACTGTTTGTGCGTTTTATGTCGCCTCCAGCCGCAGCAGCAGCGGCACCTTTAATATTTTCACTAACTTCAATATCGTTGATATGCGCCGTTGCAATTGTGCTGGAGTCATCATCATCAGTTTTGTTTCTGAAAGCAATCAATAGCAAAAAAAACTATATGTTAGAAACATCAGATTCTTGCATCGTAGAGGCAAAAGCAATAGTTCCAATGCATTTTTTAATATTTGAAAAGCAGAGAAAATTTCGACCGCAAGCCGAATGAGTATAGTAAGAAGTCGTCCTAAACCAAACGCTATGCTCATACCAACCCTCCCAAATTTATTCGCAAATAGTAAGGCAGGTTATTTTGAATTTCTACAGTCTTGACTACGCAGCGCTGACGTCATCGTCATAAGGATCCGACTACATTCATAAAATCAATGAATCCACTAAGTGTTGTCGTCAATCATAACTAAGGATAGGTCCAGGAAACGTGCAATCTGGGTGACATTGGACCATTGGAGAAGAGGGCACATCTCCACAAATTTGGCATAATTTTTCTTTAGTGGTGGTTGGTCTCCGACATCGACATTCAAAGAGCGGGCTATTCACGAAGGTGTTGGTTGAAGCTCTCGATAAATGCGGTTTCAGGCCTATCTGTAGTCTTTCTGTTTTAAGCGGATGGCATGCATATGGTCGGGTCTTTCGAGATCCATGACGTGTCTGGGCGAAGTTTCTGCTTTAAACAGGCGTTTAACTGTAAGAATTCGGGCTTCGCAGAAGGAATCCTATGCAAGTTCTATTTCGGCTTTCTGACAGGTCCGAGGCTTCGTCGCAAAATAATCACAATTTTTCGAACGTGGAAGCTCCAAAAAAAAACAATGAACTGGGGATTAATTAGAAAAAACTCGGACCTATTTCCGTTGTTGTCGTCGCTTCGTACCTAAATTCGCATTCTTCAAATATATTGAAATGGCGAAGAGAAGTTATCGACAATCGTTTTAATTTAGTGCGGAACAATGAGAAAAATGATGTTTCTATGGCGTTACTATCTTTATTTAAAACTGGAGAACACCCTTATATTCCCGATAAATGCGATAACGTCAACGGTTTTGCCAACGTTATCGGTTTTGCTTCGTTTTCATAGGACCAGGCTGGTAATCGAAATAAAAAAAATTTAATTTTCGATGCATTTATCGATTGGATCGATTAAGTTGTTACATATTTGTATCGATGAAGTTATTAATGATCGATAACTTTATAAATGTTATTATCGATTTTGATATACAGTGAAACCTCTCCTAACGGACACCTCTATTAGACGGACACCTCCCTTGGGCGGACATTTTTTCCTATACCAAGTTTTAAGTATAAATTTCGGAACAAATTACTCTCTCTTAAGCGGACACTCTCTTGGCCGGACGCGGACAGCTATTTTGCATAAAATTGACACAAACACTCTATTGGGCGGACGCGAACCTCTTATCAACGGACATTAAGATTTCTTTTCATAACAAATCAAACAAAAACCTCGGTTGAGCGGACGCGAACTCCTCATAGGCGGACTACTAAATGGAAAAAAGGGGGCTTCCCGCACAAAATGTGATTGTTATGCACACATTTAGTTTAGTTTGCGCAGTGGTTTAGGTTCGTTATTTGAATTGTCAGAAACCCTTGGAGACTGATAAAAACATGAAAACTATTGATGAAAAAGGTACTGACACTGAAAAAAATTAAAAATAAAACTTACGTCAATCGACAATTTCCCAGTTTTTTATGTAATGAATCCATGATCTTATGTAGTTTATGGACTAAAATGTAATATATATTTTTATTTTGTTATTACTTAATATGTACTTACGCACATAAATGAAATGTGCACTTTTGAAAAAATACATGCACATTTTTGTTTGAACGATGTAATATCAATATCTTTTATTCAAATAAGAAATAGTGACTATTCAATTAAAACATTAAAAAGTTCTAAAATCGGCTTCCCCTCCATTAAGCGGGCACCTCTCTTGGGCGGACA